TAAAACCTATAAGGGAAGAGGAGACAGAAGGAAAGTTGTGTCATCACGATCGTCCGAAAAAGTGTGACCGCATTGTTAGATGAGTCAAAGAGGATGAGTGACAAATAGCAACACCTCCTCCAATGACAAATTGAAGTGACTAAATCTGTAAACGGAACTCGGCACGCCGCAAATGTAACGGCATTAACTGAGTGTTGACTTCACCTGTCCAAGGTCAAGTATACAGATACCAGAGCAGCTCCTCCGTCGGACGTTAGCGGTAAGATAAGGGAATCGCTTCAACCAACATTTCCTTGCTACACTTTAAACACCTTCAATCAGATTCTACAGTGTGTGTGAATTTCGCAAGTTACACCCTCAAAATTTGCCATGGATCACCCTAACCACATCTTGCCTAAGTGGATATTTATTTATGTATGCGTACATCCATGATTCCGGCTAACGTATGTGCGAATAAAGACGCTTTTCCATCTTTCTGTGTGCGTGTGTGCATGTGGGTGGGTGTGATAAAATGCGCACACACATAAAGCTGACTAAGCCACCCAGAGTGAAGATGGCGCGGGCATGCACGCACGCACGCAAGCACATGAGACAATTGGTCGATGATTTGGCAAGCAGTAGGAGTAAAGCCAACATTTCACCTTGACGTCAGCAATGTAGACCAATCAAAAGGTAGGCAAAATGAAATGAGCCAATAGACGGTACAGTCTGCCACCCAAAAACAGCCTACAATGCTGTGTACGCATGTGCGTGAGTGTGCGTGTGTGGATGGATGGATTTGGTGACCACTACGCGCTGTGCGTGCGCGTCTGCAGCTTTTGCTGTGTGGTGTTGCCGAGGCTGAAGGAAGAGCGAAAGGGCTTTGAATGCCCGTCAATTTAGTGAGTGGGTTAAGGCAAATGAAGGGGAAGATGTGAAGTGAAGCAAGCTAGGCCATTTTGTGTCGCGAATGCACACCTAGAATGGGGTCAGGGGACTCTAATAGGGGATCAAAACATGGGCTTTTGGCTGACATTCAAACACTTGATCGGAAAAGAGGTGCGTGATGGGATTCTCTGGAGTAGGAGGGATAGACTTCGACGAACTCCCGATGTCATTGGGATGCCCGGTCGCACCATGGTGAGCGAGTTATCGGGCCTGAAGTATATGCTATCAGTAGCTTTACTGGAATTGGTGAGAACGGGGGTTGGCAATAATTCAGTCAGTCGCGCCGCACAACCGCCTTTTAACCTCCTGCACTAGGTAGGAGCGGGTAGAAAGTTCCATATCCTACCTGGATATAATAAGATGAAGAAATCGATTCGTATTAAGGGATGGTCTGAGACTCGCGTCCTCTACGTCCGAGGGCAAACCAAATGACCTGAGAAGGTCACGGCAACATCCGATCTCATCTCATGAGAGCTACAATAGAGCGCGAATGCAAAAAGGCATATGCCCGACTGACACCGTGTCAACAAAACATTGTATCTGAGATCATTGCAGCAACAGAGACCCATCTCCCTGTGCGAAAGTTAAAGCAAGACCACACGGCAAGAAAGCAACCTATCCACCTCACACACCTAGAACCCCACCCCGTAGCCGAAAGCTCACGACGAGACAAGGCAGAACCCACGACGCCACGCCAGCAGGGAAACTATAGGTCGACGACACTTCACGACCCCACCGCTGATAAGATGAACACTCGAATAACTGACAAAAATTAACAACAACAGCTAACACCATGAGATGTATTTAACAAACTTAATATTAACTAATCCGATGAATAACAAGTCGGTCTCGTAAGAAAGTTTATTTAATTAACTGATCTGTCGAAAGCAGTTTTAGTTATTGACTCCGACGCTCCTTCATTCATTCAGCTTTCGGCTGTTCGGCGGCATCGTTATCACCTTAAACACATGAAAAGTTATTATACATACTCACCAGTGTCGCTGTTCCACAGGGTTAGGTTATCGCGTAAAAGCTGCATAATGAGAGTCGCGTCTTTGTAGCTTTCCTCCGGCAAAGTATCCAGCTCGGCAACTGCATCATCGAAAGCCTTCCTGGCTAGTTCACAAGCTCGTTTAGGGTTGTTCATGATTTCATAGTAGAACACGGAGAAATTGAGAGCAAGTCCGAGACGAATAGGATGAGTAGTTTGCATATCACCTTCGGCAACCTCCGTTGCAGCCTTATAAGCCGTCAGACTGTTGTCGGAAGCCTGTTTACGCTCTTCACCAGTGCAGAACTCAGCAACGTAGCGGTAGTAATCTCCCTTCCTAGACAAAAAATTAGAGGGAATGGACGACAAACATCTTCAAGAAAAATATTTTTGATTCCGAATTCGATGCAGCAGGAAGAAGTGTCTTATCCAGCAGATCAAGGATCTCTCTGCAAGTCGAGTTTAACTCCTTCTCAATTTCCTCTCTGACCTTCTTGGCGATTTGCATTTTTGCATCCCCATCGTGCTTCTGCTCAATGCTACTAATAACACGCCAAGAACTTCGACGAGCGCCAACCACGTTCTTGTACGCTACAGACAGCAAGTTTCTCTCCTCGACAGTTAGATCCGCCCCGGATTCCAGAACATCCTTCATCGCCTTGACCATTTCTAATTTTAAATAAAACAGCCTGAAACAATAACGTACCGTCATAACGCTCGCATTGCTCACAGAGCTTTGCCATGTAGACATTTTCTTCGCGCTTACTGAGTGAAGACATGACGACGACCCGAAACGCTTAACGCAAAAAAGCGATTAAATCGAAAGATCGACGTTCTACTAGTTTAAACAAACACGAAACAAATCCGCCATGTATTAGCACACCTACTTTTGTGCTAGTTTATAGAATTTTATATGTTACTAACAAGCAAAAAAAATAATTAACTTTTGTTAGCACTCTTGAAAGGATTTATGCACCGACATTATGCATAATGAAGCATCTGTTCCTGGTTAAATGGTATATACTTATGTAGCCTTTAAATATTTGACTTTTGAGGCCTCTTTAAGCTAAATCTGTCGAGTTGTAATTATAATTTAATAAACTTGCACGATTCTATTGGTAGATTTCGCCTCCCTTTTGAATTAAAATTTTGCTTATCTGGAACCCAGCGTTTCCTTAATGTATAGATTCTGGCATATCGCCCCATAATATCCCTTGATTTGGATGAAGCATAAAATACGTCCTTTGTATGCACAACTTCGCTCTAAACAGGAATGCGCCTACTAGCTGGCTTACTATGGACAGGCGATGCTTCTTTAATACTAAGAGGCTAGACACCCCACAACATAATCTAAATGTAGTTTGCACTGCTGACATAAACAATTGTAGTCCTAATCTGCGACACAGCTTGATTTCTACAATGACATCTAAACTACCTCTAGGATCTCCATCTTCAGATGATCTTGCGAAGTCTGGAATTTGAGATGAAACGTCTCCCCCGTACCCTTGTTGCCTTAACTTTCAGTTACTGTTTTGGTGTTCCACTTTGTTTCGCATTCCGTAACTAAATGCCTCACCGGGTGTCTAACATTGTCCCCAGATTCATATTACTCTGTCGCTTAGTCAATGCTAGATCCTTCGCATGTGATGTTTGGAGCTCCGTCCTCCAAATCTGATGCAGGTAGTAAAGTACATTGTGAGCCACTTTCATGCTTCCCCAAAGGTGCATAAAGGCTACGCCACACATGAACCATTAATCTTTCATCGAGGGCTTTCTACGACCCTATGCAAGAAAACTGTTTCATCCAACTTTTATATCTTTAACCACTTCGGCCGCATTCACCCGCTCTGTCCGGCCGTATCATACCACATGCGCTCAACCTGTTCAATACTTAGTCTTCCTGAAGTTCAATTGCTGTTCTGAAAATGTTCGCAATTCCAGCTGCGATTTTCAGCGGTGAATTCGAGCCTCTTTACCACTTTTATACATTGAGTAGCCAAAACCCCAACAATAAGTAGCATGAAATCGTCCTATTTCGATGTCAGCAAGACACTGGAAACAGTGGACAACACTCTCAATGGTTTCATTCATGAGCTCCAAATGAACGTGGATCCATGTTCCCTCAGCAGAATTGTCTTACTATTCCATTAATACTGCATTCAAAGCGTTCCTACAGTTGTGACAGGTTAGAGTACTGCAAATGTCGACTTACAACCAGAGCGCGGAGGATCTGA